GAAACCAGGCTCACCTGCTCCCAGTCATTTCAAACTATTTACAGAACAATCAGCTGTTCTTTATTCAATAAGATGCCACACAAATTATTTGTGCCACTCCAAAAAAATAATTTCTGTCCACTATAAAGAAGAACATCACAGCCTGATACCTGCAGGTCTGACAGCAGCAGGTGTATCACTCCTGTTTCTACCTGGAGACAGCAGTCGCCTCATTGTTCTGACACACAACACAAAACTATCCACAACACTACACACTAACTACACAAAACAACACTAACTACACGCTCCAAACACGCTAAACGTCACAAATCTCTCAGATCTTAAAACTCGTGTGCAACTGATATAAGATGCCGTAAGCTGAAGACAGCTTCAACCGTCTGTTTGTTACTGCGTTACTTATAATGCCGTTATGCCGAAAACTGCAGCTGGAACATCTGTGTGGCAGATGTTGTGGGTTTTTTCTTCTTCCACTAAAAGGATCACAATAACAGCCTCATATTTTTCTAACTTACAAAACTTAAAATTAAGGCCACTCTGACAGCTGACAGCACAACCACACCAGCAGGGGGCAGTGTGACTCTGACCTCTGATGGACTGTGCAGACAGAATCTGATTTCAGAAAAAAAACATCTGACAATGAGATCATCTCTTTGAGCTCTAAGTGCAATCTCTATATCTGATAGAGACGTCTACACCTGCAGAGGAAGGAGAAGAAACACAAACTAAAAGCGATTCATTCGTCATTCAGGAAACTGATGAGTTTAAATATTTTTTCCAAGTTTAAAATGGCCTTCTCTGAATTATGGAGGGAATCACTGTTCAAACCAGTACTTAGAAAACTAAATATGTCAAATTAATAATTATTAGGCTCAGTGCGTCCTCAATGAAAACAAAACTTGTTTTTGTTGATTTTCAAGTCAAATTGTCTCTAGAATACAAAATTATGATTCCCATTAACAATAGCAATAAAACCAGGACAGATATTTATAATGATTTTACATTTCTATAATTCTGTTTATGTTACATTATTTTAGTATTTTATTTTATTTTGTTTCTACCAGAGGGTGCTGTGACACCATCAGCGTCTCTATTTCCCAAGGCCTTGTATCAAAACGAGCTTCATGTACTGACTGTGTATTAGCATAAATCTGTGCATACATCTATCCGGTGAACGTTTTATGCACCAATCATTATGTTTTAATGATTGGAAACTAATTTAAAAACTGAAGTTGTTTGTACTTTAACAACTGCTGGCTGTTTTGTTGTGACTCTACTCTAATGTCGTGAATTTTTATGTTTCTCTTTTCCTAACTGGATCATTGTTATGTGACCAGTTCCCATTAAGCCCACTGTGACTGTGGAGCCATTCTGGCCTCAGCTATACAGCGGTGAGACAGTCACTGTCAGATGTGAGATTCATGGAGGTGAAGGAGCTCAGTGGACGTATGAATGGAGACCAGACAAGTTAAACACACCTCCAACATCCAGAGAATACACAATCAGCGGTGCTACTGAGTCTGATGGTGGAAGATACAGCTGCCGGGGCAAAAGAGACTTGTCCTGGACGGAGTGGAGTGACAACATCACATTGACTGTATTATGTAAGTGGGATTCACTCATTTAAATTTATTTTGCACAATGTTTCATCGAAGAACACAACAAAATACTTTGTCTTTCAACAAACCTCAAGCTTTTGGTTTTTATTTAAATATCTAAATATTAAATCTGATGTACAACAGCTTTTAATGTAATTATAATAATACACAGCAATCACTCACAGTGAAACATCTGGAGATAAAAACATATAGTATATTACCTGATTTAATTAATTTAATACATTTTTTTAATTGTCACGCTCCTGGGTCTTTTGACCCAGTGTTCAGTGGGTTTTCTAAGTTCATTTGGTTATTAGTTTCCCCTTGTGTTTTCAACCCCTACGTTAAGTCTCCCTTGTCCTTATGAGTTTTGTGTCTGCATGTCTTTTGTTGTCAAGTTCACGTTGTCATGTCTGCATTTCATTATGTTTCCTGTTTTATTTTGAAAAAGGTCCTATGTTCCTGTGTTTAGTGTGTTTAGTTTTACACTTCTCCTTTGACTCGTTATGCTCATGTTTCAGCTGTTCGTCCATGTGTTGCCACTTCTCCTGATCACCTCGTGTGTATATTTAAGTCCTCAGTCTTCCCGTGTTCAGTGTTGCGTCCTCCCTCATATATGTCTGTGTGTTGTGTTTGCCATACCTACCAAGTTTATTTTGTATTGCCAAGGTTAGTTTAATTTTCCAGTGTTCAACAATAAAGCTCCCATTTTGAGTTTCAGCCTGGCCTCTACGTTTGAGTCTGCATTGTGGGACCTTTCATGCCTCCCTCCACACAGACCGTGACATTTATTGTTGATTTTCAAGTGAAATTATCCATCTGCTAATCATATATTTTTTGTTTGACCAGCTCCTTCTAAGCCCACTGTGACCCTGCAGTCATCCTGGACTCAGATATACAGCGGTGATACAGTCACTGTCAGATGTGAGATTCAGGGAGGTGAAGGAGCTCAGTGGACGTATGAATGGAGACAAGGCCAGAAAAACATACCTCCAACATCCAGAGAATACACAATCAGCAGTGCTACTGAGTCTGATGGTGGAGGATACAGCTGCCGGGGCAGAACAGACAGGTTCATCACAGAGTGGAGTGACATCATCACACTGACTGTATCATGTAAGCTGGACATATTTCACTCTTTTTAATTTACATTGCATGATATTTCATCCAATGACACAACAAAATATTTTTAATATCAATACTTTCAATAATACTATTTTTTTTAGATTAATATCCAAATGTATCTGGAAGGCAAAACGATTTCCACATGTGGATTCTATTGCTGCAGTTCCATCAGGTCTTTTTTTTTCTTAGCATTTTTACATTAAATCCTCGAGCTTTCAGGTTTGACCAAAATGTAGTTGAATTATATCAGACGCTGGTCTGCTATTTAAGCCTTTCTCATTACAGGTTTCTTTTGGATTCATTTCACTATTTCATGTTCAAGATGACATTTTGAAATTGATGAAAACATAGTAGTTGTAGCACTCTGCCACTTGTCCCTGGCACCACACCCCCAAACGCACACAAGTAGAGAGCTTTTGGATTCTGTTCCCACTTTTTATTTCTATTTCCGCGCGCACACACACACACGCTGGAGCCATTTTCTCTGTTCTGTTCCACTCTCAGCCTCAGTCCGACTCCCCTCCTCCAGACACGTGCAGCTACTAAAATAAGGGAAAACGTCATTAGTGCGGCTGGGATCAGCTGTTTCTGCCACCCACCCCTGATGCTGTCCCCTCAACCTGCTGCTCCACCCCTGCCCTGCAACTGAGCTCCAAACCACACCCACCACAGGTGTTCACGAGTCTCACCTTCAATGATACAAGAAAAACCTCTAATGTAGAACAGCTCCATATGTGGATCAGCTGTTTATGGAACATTAGTGAGAGTTACCTTGATCTGCTGCTGATGAAGTTTTTAGTAAACTTGTGATTTTTGTTGAGCCCACGTGCTTGATGTTGTAAACAGTTTCCTGTGACATGTTTACATTCCTGATTATCTTTTTAAAAGTTTGTATGAATTGACTGGTTCAGAAAAGTTTGGACTTGGACTATAAAATTACAAACAGATTTTGGCAAAACTACTGTTGTGTTCAGCACAATAGAGTCAGTCTGATCCTGCTTAATATTAGACATGTAATGGAGACACATGGTGCATCTTATTTTGCATATGCTGATGACACAAAGATATGCTGTACTTAGACCATGTGACCCTGGCATGTTGAGTTCTCTTAATGACTGATGACTTTGAGGCTCAAACTGAATGTGAGCTAATGTCCTCCAGCTAAACTCGGACAAAGCTTTAAATGTTGTCACTGAATCTCCTCAGCTGAACACATGCTGAACACATGCTGAACACATGCTGCCATCAGCTGCTGCTCTGCTGGAAAATTTCAAGGCAATAACAAAAAAAAAGTAGAATTTGAAGAAACCTACATTTCAGACTCATATGACATCAGAAATGCAATCATGTATTTATCTCTTTAAGTAATAATCAACATGTCAGAACTTTTTATTGCAAGTCATATTTCCAACAGGATGCAAAAATATTATTCCCATTAACAAGAGCAAAAAAGGCAGGACAGTTTTAAATTTGTATTTCTATAAGCCTGCTCATGATATATTTTTAACAGCTCCTCCTAAGCCCACTGTGACCCTGCAGCCATCCTGGACTCAGATACACAGCGGTGAGACAGTCACTGTCAGATGTGACATTCAGGGAGGTGAAGGAGCTCAGTGGACGTATGAATGGAGACCAGACAAGTTAAACACACCTCCAACATCCAGTGAATACAGAATCAGCAGAGCTACTAAGTCTGACAGTGGAGGATACAGCTGCCGGGGCAAAAGACGTTCCTCCTGGACAGAGTGGAGTGATATCACCAAATTAACTGTATCATGTAAGTTGGACATATTTCACCTTTTTTTATTTATATTGCACAAAGTCTCATCAAAAACACAACAAAGTACTTTGTCTTTCAATCTTTTTATTTTAGTATCAAAAGTAGCGTAAAAATATTTTTAAAGTTTCACATCAAATATACAGTAATCACAGTGAAACGTCTGAAGAAGAAAATCATATTCAGTAAAACTGATTTAAAAAAATGAAATATAAACTGTAATGATCCCAGTTTCTTCACCTCAGTTGTTACACATGTGGAGTTTTCATCACTGCAGCTCAGTGTCATGATGCAGTTCTTTTGTTTTAGCATTTTTATTTTTTCTAATTCCTCAAAGTTTTCATTTGACTACAATTTGGCCTCATTTTAGGAAAGAATGCTCTGCTACATTTGCCTTTCTCTAACTGCTGGTATGTTTACTCATAGTAGCAGTTTTTTTTAAACTTTATTTATCTTTAATTAGCCAAATTAAATATCATGAATTTGGGGCAAAATATGAAATGAATTTTACTTTGAATGAAGATTCATTTCTGTAAAACTTAACTGCATGTCTTTGGACTGCAGGAGGAAGTCTTTAGACCCACACAGACACACACGGGGGAACATGCACACAGGCAACAGTGCTAACTGCATGTTACAGTGTTGCCCCAGAAGTGCTTTTTGGCATCGAAAAACAAAATTGCTGAATCCGACATCTCACATGATGAAAACCTTACCTGCCTATGATGAACTCTTTCTGAGCTTTATTAATCATTTGAGACTAAGTTATTTACAAACATGTTGCTAAAGGTTTACAGAAAACTTAAGGTCACAGTTAAGTAAGCTTATGTTAGGAACAAAAGGACATCACTTTGTTTGATGGAGATGAAAATTATGAACTTACAGCAGGCTGAATTCAAAGATACCTCACAAATCAAAGTGTAAAAATGATGTGGCTAATCCATTTCGCTGAAATGTCAGTGGAACAACTCAAAATGGTATTCAGTACAGCCGTCACATGCCGGCACTCAGACATTCAAAAGGTCGAATTTCTTGTAAGAAAACAACTTCAGATAATTTATATGTGATTCAAATTCATAACCTGTTTAACTTTTCTTTTGTTGTAGCCCTCTGCAGTTCCAAGAAACAACATTTAGGCTACGTC